AAAAAAAAAAAAAAAGACACAGTCTTATGCATTCTCAGGTAAACAAGAATATAAGTATTAAATATATATGTATATGTAATACATATAAATTTGTATTAAAAATATAGCAATAAGAAAAAAAAACACCACCAGATAGTAAGCTCCATGAAGATACAAGCTCTGTGGTCCACTACGGCATCTCCACTGCCAGGCGGCATCCAGTAACTTACTTGGTACTAAAATGTATTAAACGAATGAATGAAATACTACTTTGCAATTTTGTGTGACTTCTATAACCAACGGAGTTACAAAAATATCCCATTCTAATTATGTATCAGGTATTTATATGTCTGCGAAGGAAGACCTGTCTTATTAATTTTTGTATTCCCAAGAGCCTAGAAAATGTTGAAAGAAAAAAAATGGGGAAAAAAAAAGCCCTTTTCTGGAACAAGTTAGAATAGGACCCACATACATTTTATCTGTTACTAACAAAACGTCCAGCTTGTCTTTCTTCTTTGAAAACTGCATGGTCTCAAGGGGAGTCCATTCCAATTAGGAAAAAAAGTCACTTTTTCAGAAGCTGGCGCTTCCCACCCCACGCAAAGCCAAGACAAGTTAGCAAAACCGCAAAGGCTTGGCTAATTCAAACATAAGCTAATAATTTGTTATTATTGGCACAAATTAGCCACTTTCTTTTGCTGCGCAGGTCAATGTCTACAACCACACTGACCCCTCCTGTAGGGCAAACGTCTCCCCAGCAGCTCGTGAGAAGCACAGCTCTTCTCAGCAAAAACCGAGGGAGACTGGAATTTGTGCAGTGCAGTAATCCAAACCCCTCGAGTAGATGCCCGCTTTAAAATCTGCATCTCGTAAGAAATGTCTTCCATTTTCCATATTAGGAACTGAGAAAACAAGTTCCTGAGCTCTTTGGGGACAAGTTCTTTTCCAAACACTACAACCACCTCCAACCATCCCGCAATGCCTGAGCCCGAGGGCAGGCCACACACGACCCAGCGCTAAACAGTCACAGTCAAGGTGTCCGCCGCCTGCCTTGCCTTTAAAGAAGCCGCACACAATCAAGCTGCCCCAGAGTTCAACTTCCGGCCACACAGTGAGAGGATGTTTTTCTACTGGAGCTGAGCCGCGGGGGCGCGCCCCCTGGCCACGCCCTCCTAGCCACGCCCTCCACGCCCGGCCTTCGGAGCGCGAGCTCGGGCGGGAGCACGGAAGGGGCGGGACCACATGGGCGGCTGCTGAGTGGTTCGCCTTTTTCCCCTCGCGCGCAGTCACGCGGAGGCAAGCTCAGTGCTTGGAGAGCGCGATAGCGCGCGCGCCGGCTCTTAGTGCCCTCCCCGGTGACGTGCCTGGCCGAGGCCGCGCCAGGGCGCTGTTGCTGCCAGTACAGCTATCATGGCGTCCGAGGCGCTGGCTGCGGAGAACTGGCTGCGGTCTCCATAAAGCGGGGGGCGGGCGGCCAGGTATGGAGAGCAGCCCCGAGAGCTTGCAGCCGCTAGAACACGGGGTGGCGGCCGGGCCAGCGTCAGGGATAGGTTCTTCGCAGGAAGGGCTACACGAGACCAGGCTCGCCGCTGGCGATGGTCCTGGAGTATGGGCGGCGGAGAGCGGCGGCGGGAATGGGCAGGGGGCGGCGGCCGCCGGGAGGAGCCTCCCGGACTCGGCTTCTTCCGCGGGCTGTCCTGAGGTTTCGGGACCCTGCAGCTCTGCCCCGGGTTTGGACTTGAAGAATAGTGCTTTGGAGAGTCTTGCTGCCGCCGAGGTGCCTCTGAGAGGGCAGTACAAGGTGACCGCCTCCCCCAAGACAGCCGAGGCTGGAGTGGGTCATGAGTTGGGTCCCGCTGGAGACGCGGGAGTCCGCCCGGATCTCGCCAGCACCTGCCAAGCAGAGCTGACGGCCGCCGGCTCCGAAGAACCCAGCAGCGCCGGCGGCCTCAGCAGCAGTTGCAGCGATCCAAGCCCTCCTGGGGAGTCGCCGAGCTTGGACTCTCTGGAGTCGTTCTCTAACCTGCATTCTTTCCCCAGTAGCTGCGAGTTCAATAGTGAGGAGGGAGCGGAGAACAGGGTCCCTGAGGAGGAGGAGGAGGAGGAGGGTGCGGCAGTGTTGCCCGGGGCTGTTCCTCTGTGCAAGGAGGAGGAGGAGGAGGAGGAGGAGGAGGAGACCGCTCAGGTGCTGGCGGCCTCCAAGGAACGCTTCCCGGGACAGTCTGTGTATCACATCAAGTGGATCCAGTGGAAGGAAGAGAACACACCCATCATCACCCAGAATGAGAATGGACCCTGCCCCTTGCTGGCCATCCTCAATGTTTTGCTCCTGGCCTGGAAGGTACATTCTGCAGCTTTCTACTACCTACAGTTTTTGGGGTGGAGGAAAACGGGGTGAGGGAGCTGCTGCATGTCAGGTGATGGCTTTATTTCTTTCCTCATTCATCAGTCCCCTTCTTACATGAAATTCATTCCAAGACTTCCATGTTGAGAGAATATTCCCGTGTACATATATCGAAAAGAATTGCCCCTAACCTCAGGTTTCTCTTGTAGTGTTTGAGTTCAACATTCCGTTGTGGTTGATACACTTACAAACAAAAAGGACTTAGAGCATCCTAAATCTTACGATTATTTTAAACTATTATTTCCTACTTTACCTCTTCTTACTGACCTTATCACGTATGCAAAAAAGTGAAGAATTGGAGAAAGTGATCTTCAGAAGTTACCGTCAATCCATGATACCATGGACTAAGTTTTGATGGTTATGTTTAGTCTAATTTCCAACTAATGCCCCATTTGTGTGTAGATACTTAAGAGAATGGTGATGAGGAAGATGTGGCTCTTTAGACAAATTCCATTTAAGGAAAAGCATTGGTCTGAGACCCAATTACCAGAACTTCTTGGTTTTCAAAGATTGTTTTCATTTTATGCATGATTTTTACTTGCCTCATTTCTTTGGCTCTCCTTAAATGGTTTGGCATTATTACCAGTAACCATGCATCTGAATGTGTTAAGGGAGCTAAAACTGTAAGAACTAAAATAAAGAAAGATATGTCTAAGGTAAGGGAGCAAAAAAAGGAAGGGCCCTTAAAAATAGGTATGTTAAGGACCCAGAGTGAGTTACCTGTAAAACGAAGTGTCTTATTTAAGCTTGCAGTGTTAGGGTGCCGAGATGCATCTCACAGCACCTATTTTATTTTCAAATTGGTAATTATATCTATGGATGCAATGTTTCCTAGAAAAAAAATAACCCAAACTGGGCGTGGTGGTGTGCGCCTGTAATCCCAGCTACTCTGAAAGCTCACCTACTCTGGAAGGTGACACAAGACAATCGATTGAGCCCAGAAGTTTGAGACCAGCCTGGGCAATATAGTGAGACCCTATATTAAAAGAAAAAGAAAAAAATAATAACCTGGATTCTTCTGAACAGTTAGGAAGAAAATCAAGAAAAGGGAACAGTGTTTATCACATGTCTTTATCTTCCTGTCATTAGCAAGGGCTGATACAAAAGAAATAAAATTAGAAACCTTGCCATTATCTGGTGCATAATGGCACTGAGATGTTTTGAGTGAAGACAGTACCTGCCCTTAAAAGGCTGTCAAGCTGTTTGAGGTGGCATTATTGACTTACTTGAAACTGTTTAAGAACCAGGAATAGTGGATTTTGTGAGAAAAGTGGTAGGTAAATTGTGGTAAATCTGTGGAAATGCATTTGACATTCAAAAAGGGGAAGTTTTCCTCTGGTATGGCATAGTCCTAGAAAGCTT